AATAGAATAGAATAGAATATAGAGTAGAGTAGAATAAAATAGAATAGAATATAGAGTAGAATAGAATAGAATAGAATATAGAGTAGAGTAGAATAAAATAGAATAGAATATAGAGTAGAATAGAATAGAATAGAATATAGAGTAGAGGAGAGTAGAATAGAATAGAATATGGAATAAAATATAGAGTAGAATAAAATAGAATAGAATAACTATAGAGTAGAGTAGAATAGAATATGGAATAGAATATAGAGTAGAGTAGAGTAGAATAGAATAGAATATAGAGTAGAGTAGAATAGAATAGAATAGAATATGGAATAAAATATAGAGTAGAGTAGAATAGAATAGAATAGAATAGAATAACTATAGAGTAGAGTAGAATAGAATATGGAATAGAATATAGAGTAGAGTAGAGTAGAATAGAATAGAATATAGAGTAGAGTAGAATAGAATAGAATAGAATATGGAATAAAATATAGAGTAGAGTAGAATAGAATAGAATAGAATAGAATAACTATAGAGTAGAGTAGAATAGAATAGAATGGAATAGAATAGAATAGAATAGAATAGCCTTATTCGCCAAGTGTGATTGGACACACAAGGAATTTGTCTTTGGTGCAGAAGCTCTCAGTATACATAAGGAGAATAAAAATGCATTCATCAAAAGTAAAAAGACGCAACACTTAGTCAAGGTTACTAATAAGCTTTCAAATTGTACTAGTAAACAAATACAACAATATAATTTGAAAGATACAAGCAACATGGTTAGAATCATAAGTGGGGAGAGATAAGATACTAGGAAGAGAAGAATAATAGTAAATCATTCTTAGTAAATTATTGACAGTCTTGTGGGAATTATTTGTTTAGCAGATTGATAGCATTTGAGAAGAAATTGTCCCTGTGTCTAGTTGTTCTGGGGTGAAGTTCCCTATAGCATATAAAGAGCTAATTTGCCCTAATATTATCCTTTGGGGGAGGGGGGAATTGTGTGCTGCTCTGGCGAAAGTTTGTGGACACATGGCCTAGGAAATTTTGAAATACACTTATGTCCACAATTGAGCCCAAAAATTATGTTGCTAAGTGAGATATTTGCTAAGTGAGTTTTGCCCCCATTTAATAACCTCTCTTTCTGCAGTTATTAAGTGAATCACTGCAGGAAGCTTCCCTATTTAAGTCAGAAGGTTGCAAAAGGGCTCGTCTGAACTTTATCCCATGGAGAGATATTGCGTCGTAAATGTGAAAAACGGCCATCCGTCTCCTTTTTCAGTGCAGTTGTAGGGAATGATGGGAGGTGTAGTTCACATATCCTTAAACTGCCAACTAGCCACATCGCGCCTTGGTGAAAGCCAACGAAATCCTCTGCATTTTATCCTTCCCCAAAAGGAAATCTCAAAAACATTTTCTTTCTTTTCCTGCTGGAAATTTCAGAAACATTTTTTTCTTTTTTAAAAAAAAATACATTTTTATTATTTAAATATGAAAAGAAATGAATACAGTGCAATTGTCAAGTGGTATTCCACTTGAAACCACGAAACAAAGGTAAAAACAAACTAACATATATACTATTTTAAACAGTGCTAATGCTGTACGATTATTTCTGACCAACTTATTCTAGAGGATCAAATTTATCTTTCATTCTAATTTTGTTGTTAGTTGTAAAATGGGGGCAAAACTCACCGAACCAATGTCTCGCTTAATGACAGAAGATTTTGGACTCCACTGTGATCGTAAGAGGAGGACGAGCTGCATATAACTTCCCCACCAAGTCTGACACATTTAAAAATACGGATACACAATTAATGATTTTCTGGTGTGCCACAGAACTATTACTACATTCCATCTTGCCCTTTGAATCCAGGATGGTTGAGATCCATTGTACTATTTGGAGACTCAAATTTAGACTGGGTTTTTGTTGTTGTTAGTTGTGAAGTTGTGTCTGACCCATTGTGACTCCATGGACAACATTCCTCCAGGCCTTCCTGTCCTCTACCATCCTCTGGTGCCCACTTAAGCTCACGCCAACTGCTTCGGTGACTCCATCCAGCCCCCTCATTCTCTGCCATCCCCTTCTTCTTTTGCCCTCCATCGTTCCCAGCATGAGGCTCTTCTCCAGGGAGTCCTTCCTTCTCATCAGGTGGCCAAAGTCTTTGAGTTTCCTCTCCAGGATCTCGCCTTCTAAAGAGCAGCCAGGGTTGATCTCCTCTAGGACTGACCGTTTGGGTGGCCCTGCAGTCCAAGGGACTCGCAGGATAGAAAGAAAGAAAGAAAGAAAGAA